AAAGAGATTGCGACCCTTAATCCCTCAAAATTCCTGATTACATATTCCATCACATTACCATTCCTTGAAGCAGAACCTGGCAACTCATTCCGTGCCTGCAGGTTTTACTTTTGCCTTACTTTTTCGTTCAGCTCATGTTTCCTGTCATCATAAGCTTTTCCTGAACTAAAGATTTTCCATCGTGAAAGTTCCGTGTCGTGCTTAGTCAGTCAAAAGTAAAAAACTTTTAAAAGTCCATCTTGAATGCCAATGCAACCCTCATCATTACCTGTTACATAAGTTTCGCATTTCATTTTTTGAAAAGCGCGGCAATGGCTGCTTTTAAATACCGCCTCAGTTGTTGGCAACGAACGACCTTGGACGCCATGTGGAACCTGCTGGCAATGTTTGACTCTGAAGAAAGTGCCGTTTTTCACCTGACGTCAGCGGTTGAAGCAATTACTGACCCAGTTTCGACAGGGCAAGCCGAAGTCCATCGAAGCCACGTGGTAGTGCATGACTTTAAAGTACAAACGTGTAATCGAAGTTGATTGACGCCAGCGCTACAGAAATAACTGTGTCCAAAACGTTCCGTCAAACCTCAGCCTTGGTACCGATCACTGCCATTACTTACATCCTACCGAAGCAAAGTGGAAAAGTGAAGTGACAAATCCTTGCCTGTGTTGGTGTGTAATTTCATATGTTTAATGCCCTGAATGTTCTTGATTTACTGTGTTTGATTCGTTGACCCGTTCCACAGTTGAGATACAGCGGTCGAGGTTGTGTAAGGTGGATAATTTAGGAAAGGAATGAAAAAACAAGGATTTGCTCAAGTCAACTGTGCCAGCAACTTGTCGGGCTGTATGTTCATTGCGATGAGCTGAACCGGCCGGTAATCGGCAATGAATTGCTCCGGCCACAACACACTCACCATTCCTCACGATTTCAAACCTTCTCCTTTCATATACCTTCCTACCTCAGTGATCGGCGACCAAGCGGCCAAGTACACCCGCAAGGGCACCAGCTCACGATCATTTACTGACCATATTCAGTCGATGAGCAGGGCCAGTTGCCCGACCTACCGCAACTTCCCCGTTCTACTTTCGGCATGAGGTCCTTCGATCCCGTTTGCTGTTCGATCACTGTGTAGGGAATGTGATCGAAACGTGACACTGCCAAAACTCTTCCTTTCACAAATCTCTGAGTGACAGCGAGCTGGAGGTCTTCGGCTTTAACCAGTGACTGCGACAACAACACAACATTGCCAGAAAGATACTAAAATGGAAGATATGAGCATGGGTTTCTTTCCTGATGTTGCTGAAGAAGACGTCCTTGACTAACGGAGGTCCTCCTTCTCTGTTAGCTTGGTGGAATCGTGCCTTAGAGGTCAGCTCAAGTCCTAAAAGTGTGATCGTTTGATTGATTTGAGGTCATTCGTTATTTTGCCCACGAGTTCATATATTGCTTCAGATAGAGGTTGCTCACTCGGTAGAACGTCGGATTCAGAACCCATAGATTCCACGTTCAAACTCTGGAAGAGATCACTTGCCTTCCTTCCTGCCCAGGTTAATAAACGGTTAGCAGTTTCTGAAAAGCAAACAGGGGACTACACGCTACGCTTGCCACATGGCCGTAGACTCTGCCCTTAGACTAAGTAAAGCACTCCAAGCCGATGACGCAAAGATGAGGACCGCGTCGTCAAGTCATGAGCAGAAGTGCACAAGAGTGGCCCCGTCATGAAAGTATATGATAAACCGATATTTCGACCGTTACAAACTTTCGCTCTTCACTTTCCTCTGTGACGTTGTGTTTTTTAAGTAATACATTAATATATGAAGGTTATAGACCGCTAACGACATGGTGGAACATCTGTCAGGCCTATCGCGGGCAAGGATGGCTTAGACGATAAACTAATGTATTGTTCCTACATCAGTGTTGCCGCATTTTTTGATTACCATTGAATACCAAAGTAATCAACGTGTTTGTGACAAGGTAATTCAAGCATAAATGACAGATG